TGTTCATTGATGTTTTGTTTTGCCAGATGTGTTGAAACAATAGTGTAATCTCGGATTGTAGCTCCTACTGTGGTTGACACCAGCTACTGATTAAACCTTTGTCTTTTTCCCTCTGCTAAGGTAGATGAATGGAGGAAGAAATTTTCTGCAAGTAAAAATAGAAGCTGTGTCTGTATAATTACATATGCTGTTTATGGTCAGAAAGTTGCCTCTTTGGCCAAGAAAAAAATGCCATAAATTTATATTTGATGTAGTATTTAAACTACAGACACAGGAACATATATAAGAAAACTCACCACCCTCTACCAGCAAATAAGAGAATGCAAAATACATCTTTAAGCTAGGACTAAAGCCTTATTTGATTAACTTATATATTTACAAATGCACACTTTGCTGGTTATGAACTAACTACCAACAGGAAGCATTTATGAACCTTAATGAAATAAGGCTGTTACACAAGGATCTCTGCTCATTTGTTATATTGGAACAGTCAGAAATTGTAATATTTGGCATTTTATGAACTAAATCATTGGCTACTAAAGCTTTATTTATGATGTTCGTCTACAGGCTTGCTTCTCACTGGAAATGTTTGAATGCTTATGTAGGTTAATAACTTGAAAGTGTTATACTAGCTTGTTGTAACAGGAGCTTCTTACTGGAAACTGCTCTAGTACTTTTTATAACCACATGAAAGAACCTAAATCATAACGAAAAGGATAGTGATAATCTGACCTAGATGCCAAGAATATGTAACTGGGTACCCAACATGTTTTGGTAAGCGATGCAAAGCCCTCTTTTACTGGCTGTCTAGAATTAGTAACTGATGTTATCTAGTCTGTGTGATACATTACACTGTAATTTTTTAATAAATCAATTTATTTTCCTAAAATCCTCTATGAGAACCAAGATCACAGAAAAGAAAGCTCGTTAGTCACGGGAGAAGTGGAAAAATACATGGACTTTATTTTTAGTCAGCACCTGTTTTGAAAAACAAGCGCTCCTAACATCAAGGCAGATGCTACGGTAATGTATAGAAAGCTTACGAGTTTTGAGTGGGGTCAAAAATAGCTGGGCTACCCTGGGGGGGAATAAATCCCTTCCCTTCTGAACCATTCACTCTGGAAGAACCATGGGGAGTTCATGCCCCAGTGATCACCGCAGAGGCAACAGGTCAGGGCTTGCAGCTGCATCACCGTGTGTTTTGGGGCTGGGCACACTGCTGTCATCCCAAAGCATGGGTACGAGATGGCCATGGTGTGATCACAGTGTGCTGTGTCAGGCTGACAACGCTTGATGTCATTGTGCTGTAGCCACAGCAACTCGTGAAGGGGTATTACTGGGAAGATGACATCATAGCTGCAGCTTGACGTTGATAATGACATCATAGCTGCAGCTTGACGTTGATAATGACATCATAGCTGCAGCTTGACGTTGATAATGACATCATAGCTGCAGCTTGACGTTGATAATGACATCATAGCTGCAGCTTGACGTTGATAGTGACATCATAGCTGCAGCTTGACGTTGATAATGACATCATAGCTGCAGCTTGACGTTGATAATGACATCAAAGCTGCAGCTTGACGTTGATAATGACATCATAGCTGCAGCTTGACTTTGATAATGACATCATAGCTGCAGCTTGACGTTGATAATGACATCATAGCTGCAGCTTGACGTTATAATGACATCACGCCAGGGGAAGGGGGCTGCACCCAGATTGGCCCAAACGTCCCCATCTCCACTGCAGTCCTTCGGGGCCCTCCCTTATATAGCGGCTATTAGGTCCCACCTCCAAAGCCTGATTGGCTGAGTTCCGCAGGGGGAGGGCTGTGATTGGTCTGAGGGGCTGTCTGTCAGGGGGCGTGGGCCTGCGCGGCCTGTGTGGAGCGCCGGGAGGCCATTGTGGCTGGGGCAGCTCTGAGCGCTGGAGGAGGAGGCGGTCGCGGCCCGCGAGCGCCGCGCACGGTCCCGCCGGAGCCCGTCCGAGGGAGGACACGGTGAGGGAGGCCGCGGTGAGGGGGGCCCCTGCGGGCGGCGGGGCCGGGACTGGAGTGGGGCGAGTTCCTGGCCGGGGGCCGGCCCCGGGGCGACCGGAGTCCCCCCGCTTCTCCCGCGGGCCCCGCCCGCCGAGGCGCGGGCAGAGCTGCGGTTCTGTGCGTGCTGCTGCCCCAGCCGAGTGGGAAGGAGGCGGGGGGGGGACGAGGCCGCAGGGCCGGGGTTCGGGTCCTTCCTTCTGCGGGGCTGCCCTGGCCGAGCCCCCCGCCCTTCCCCGTGCCGCAGTGCCGCCACCGGCCCCGGCCCGCTCCGCGCCCGCCGGGACCCGCCTGTTCTCCGCTTTCTCCCCTCCTGCTTCGTGTCCAACCCAGGGCGGGATCGCCCCTTGCTCCGCGCCCGCTGGGGAGGGCAGCGCGTCCCCGAGCAGCCGGGGGCCGTGGTGCCGCCCCGGCGGTGCCCCCCTGTGCACCGAGGGAGAGAAGGGAGCACTGCCGAGCGGAGGGAAGGGGCAGGCCCGTGTCGTGCGCGCCCCTCTCAGCGCAGTGAGAGCGACCCGGAGCTTTCCTGAGCACAGGCGGCTGCTCGGCAGAAGTTTCAGAAGAGGTGTAAGCAGCGCTCTTGCCCGGTTGTACGGCGTTACATAATCCTACAATACCGTAACTGGTTACAGCATATACACGTTTAAACTTTTTCCCTTTCACCCTCCAGTTTACCTTCGCAGAGGTGCTGAGCTGCGTGCACTGTTTGTCTGCGGTGCGTGTTTAACAGCTGGGTGATGCTAGAGCAGGTTGTTGGTAAAATCTTTGGTCAGGAATACTTTGGGTTGCCTCAGGAAAAAGGGGGACTTTTCAAAGAGCTGACCAGATACACAGTGCCTCTAAACTCTGCTGTAACAGATTGGCGTTACTCAGGTACTGCTTTGCTACACTTTCCTTCTGTAACAGGCTGTTCAAGGGCTGTGAGTGAAGGGACGGGAGGTAACTCGCTGTCACTTTGTAGTTAGACTTACACCTGTTGATATATATTGCAGTAAAGAGTTAAAAAAAAGCCCCAACACTGTCGGATAATAGTCCTTAAAAGGGCACATCTGAATTTGAAGTGCATTTGCAAGGGTGAATAAGAGAATGGGAGGAAGATAGTAATGGAATTTGCGTATCTTTTCATACATATATATTTATGTTCATAGCCTATTTGTTCTGTCAGCAGTAGAATGTTTATCTTGAGGCTTAAAAGTCAAGCTAAATTTCTTGATGTTCTTATGCTTCATTGTCAGTAACAACATTGCTGTAACCAAAACAACCCTGGGAATGTGTTCCCAACTGCTACAACCTGTTTGTTTATAAGCTTTTGACTTGAAGATATCCAGAGGACAGATTTGATTAATGATAAGTTGCCATTTTAAGGGGAGTTGCCTTTTAGGGAGGTGACTGTTCAATACAGGATGTATGTTATAGTGCAGTTGCTTTCAACTTTTTAACATTCCTCAGTGGAGTTCCATATAACAACTCGTAAGCCTACTGATGGTAGGTTTGGTGGGTGGTTAATTTTCTAGGTATCTTTCATGAGCAACAGGTTGAAAACCTGTAAGTTCCCTGTATGTGGTGTGCTCAGTCAGCTTTGTTATATTAAAGTTGTATTAAAAACACCCCACAACATTCAATTCATACGCATCTTGTGCATGCTGTAAAATAGAAAAACATCTTGAAACTTTGGGATGCGGTAATGTGTTGTTATTGGTGAGTAGGAGTGTGTTTGCTGACCATCTCGACTTTTACATTTGCTGCTGGTCCTGCTTGCTGCAGCTAAGAAGCCATAAATTAAATTTACATTTCAGAAATGGAAAGAATGCCTACTTCCAAAAATTCCTCTAGAGGAGAAGTGTGGAGTATGTTAGCTGGAGTGATGAATCAGATTACTTCAGGTAGGAGAGTAACAGCTCAGGATTAAGAAACTCACTTGCTAGGTATACTTTTCCTTTGAACAACAGGAAATCTGTTGTTATTTGAGGGATCTTGCCCTCAAATAGGCTGTTTGTCTGAAGTCCTATGAGCAGCGACCATCCGTAGACCCCTAACTGTACATATGTCCTGATGCATATGAGCAGCTTGCAGCCCAAGTGAAAATTAGGGTTCAGCTTATGGACAGGATGGTTATGTATACAAAGAATTGCAGAGGATGTCAGAATACGTAAAACCTGTGTTGTGATCCCTCATTTCCGCCCTTGGTCTTGTCTAAAGAGCTTATCCTGGTATCTAAATGATTTTTTAAAGATGGCTTTATGCAGAAAAGGTTCTTTAAAGGAAGGGTTTCTCTGGTTCAGGATAACTTCATTTTCCCATACTTATTTATCTCCGTTATAGAAAAATGTTTCGTTAACCCATGAGGAGATACAGGGTAGTTCTAGCATAACAGGTCTTTAGCTTGATATCCAGTTTACACAAATTCTTTGCTATTCTGGTTTTGTTCTCTAAGTCTTTTTCAGAGACAGGATCTTAACCTTCCAGCCATGCCTTTGTTCATTTTCATACGTTTCCTCCTAGCTGATCCTGGTTTGTTTGTTTCTTTGTTTGTTTTTCTTAAGCTTCTAAGAGGAAATAGCAAGTAAACTTACTTCCTAAATTGGTGCTGCAAATGACCAAGTTGATCTACTTCTTAAAATGATTCGGTTTTGAGAACCTAGAAGGTAAAAGGGACTCTAGACATTTCTCGAGAATTCTTTAAGGCTACCCATGACCAGTTCAGTTTAAACCCAGTCTTTATTAGGATTTATAGGTCTTCCACCTGTTTTACTTGCAGATTTGTTGGAGTTCATCTGCTGGTGTAAGCTGTGGAAAAGAGGCTGCTCCCTCCTTCGTGCACCTAGGAAGGGAGAGGTCCGCATTCTGATTCCTGAAGCAACCAAAAGCTATTCATGTGGCTGTGTGTCCTTCTAGGATGGGCTTCTGGGTTTCTTTTGAGGCTTTTCTCTTTTGCATTGGCTCACCAATGTTTTGTAGGCCAGTGAAGAGAGAGACTAGCTGCTCTTCCCTTAGCTAAACCAGGCACTGTGCAGGCTGATGGTTAGGACAGCTGCTCTGGGGGAAGGTGATCTGCTTTCATTTCCTGTTTCAAGGAACACTTGGCTGTGTGATTTACTTTGGGCTGTAATGACACTGCCCGTCATAGTGAATGTGAAATTAGAAATGGGAGCATTTGTTGGAGACCTCTTCAGTAATTACTGAGGTACATTTCTTGTAAGGTTTGAAGAGGGATGGAGGGCCAGAAATACTGCAGGTCTGTACTCATTACTGTGGCACTTCAGAGCTAAAGATGTTTAGTCCATTACCTTGCTCGCCAATGTAATCACCTACCTCTAATTCATTCTTGACAGATGAATGTAACTTACTCTCTATAATAGAGTGGAAGTCCCTCAAACTGTAGCACAAAACTAATTCTGGTAGGACTGTACCTATGCCAACTGACAGCATAGTATGTTATGGTGTGTTTAAAATGGGAGGGAGGATGGGTAGCAATAGGTATGGATCTGGCAAGAGTTGCCTGGCAAAGATAAGGAGGCAGAGCCCTGCTCGAAATTTCCTACTGGACTAAGGTGAAAGGGATGTTGGAGAAACTGCCATGAGAATTTTGGGGGCAGTTGTTTTGTTTCAAGCCTGTTTTGCAGTTGTAATCAAGTTTTTCATTATAATCCTGTTTCTTCTGTGTCTGTGGACTTGGTGGGTTTCTGCCGTTGCTTTTATCTGTGTTACCAGTGTTTGAAACACCTCTTTCCCCCCCACCCCGTAGTACAGACATTACTACAGTCCTAGCACATAGTAGTAATTCTAAGTTAAGGAGTAGCCTTCAAGGAGTAGAGAGTTATTGGATTTGGGTGGTTTTGTTTGCTTTTGCAGTTGTTTACTTAGCTGCTTTTTGTTTTAGCAATTGGAATAGAAACATGCAGTTACTTAAAGCAGTGAAGGCTGTAATTATTTGCTGTCTGTCTGCAAGTATTTTTCATTAGCAGTGGCAATACACGAAGTTGAAAGGATGCTTATTTAATGGTGTGCTATTGAAAAATTAATATGTATTAAAATATGTATAATATATTTTCCATCTTGTCTACCAGAAATCAGTGAGAGATTGAACATTTGTTTTCTTTCTTTTTCTTTAAGATCTTGAAAACTTTACTGGGTCCTTGAGAGAGAAAACTACATGACACTACACCATGAGTGACAGTAAATGTGATAGTCAGTTTTACAGTGTTCAAGTTGCAGATTCAACATTCACTGTACTAAAACGTTACCAGCAATTGAAGCCTATAGGATCAGGGGCACAGGGCATTGTTTGGTGAGTAATAAATGCTTCATTCAAATATAAAAACTGTAAAACAGAGATTGAATGTATGTGCCAGAATGTAAAATACTGACGATAATTTCTGTTTCTTGCTACAGGGTTGTGGACTAAATAAATTCTAAAACACCTGCTTGCTGTAGCTCATGTGTAAACCTATTTTGTTTTGGTTTTAGGGTAAGATTAATGTTTGCCTAACTGCATATAATAAAATGGTCAGCAAATTTCCTTCTCATTAACCACTTTATTTCTGTTTCTAGTTCTCACATTCCCCATGTAGTTATGATATTGCAGTGTAAGGTATGACAATGAGAGATTCTGGGTTTTACTCGTTTCTTCATCATGGCCCCCTTTCTTCCCCCCCTTTTATTCCCGATCACTCCTATCCATTTCTAGGAGCCATCAATGCAGTGCCTTGCCATTAACTGGCAGGATGAGACAAATCAGTGTCATTGTCACTCCATGGATTAACCAGAAAGGGATGCTGTGTGAGGGGCTGGGCTGGCCGGCTCTTCCTTGGTGTGTCACCTCAGCTATATGTCCAGCCTCCACTGGCGCAGGACGGGAGAGTCAGTAGTCTGATCCTGAACCTTAGTCTCTTGTATGGCACCACACCTCTGGGCCAGCTAAAGGTAAACATTTTCAAATGTTTTTTAGACTGCAGCAATCCATTCTACACGACTTAGTGCCAGCCCGTGTTTTGTTGGGCAAAACTTACTTGGTAACAACAGAAATGTTTATTGATGCACTAACTGAGCAAGCAGCCTCCCAGTATCTAAAGGGCCAAAGCTGGAGAGGGACTTTTCACAAGGGCAAGTAGTGATAGGACAAGGAGGAATGGCTTTAAACTGATATGGGAGATTTAGGCTAGATGTTAGGAAGAAATTCTTTCCTATGAGGGTGGCGGGACACTGGCACAGGTTGCACAGAGAAACTGTGGCTGTCCCATCCCTGACAGTGTTCAAGGCCAGGTTGGATGGGGCTTGGAGCAACCTGCTCTGGTGAAGGATGTACCTGCTCATGGCAGGGAGCTAAATGATTTTTAAGGTCCTTTTCTAACTCAAGCCATTCTAATATATGCTCAGGAATTCTCTAATATTAGACTTGATCACAACACATGGTGGGCTGTTCATGCATTAAGTCCTGTCTGTGGTTTCTCTTCATCTATAAATTCTGCAGAATAAGTGTGATGACTCATGTCTTGTGAGCAAACTCCTTATACAGCACCTGCCCATGTCTTTTTGGCCTTCACATAAGTGTAATAAATTATATATGTAGGAATGGAATGCATTTTTGTGAGAACATGTCTTTAAGTTACTTAGATACCTCTGTTGTCCTGCTAATAGGTGAAAAATAAGCAAGATGAGAACATCGTATTTCATTCTTTAGCTGGTTGAATGGTGAGGGGATAGGCATACTAGATCTTGGTTATTAGTGTTTGGGTAAGATTTAGTGTAGTGCTAACATCTCCCAGGTATAAATATTCTTAAAGTTATGCTTGTTTTAGATGACATGCAGAAATTTAGGGCGGCTGTAAGCATTCCTCCTTTCATTACAGGTAGTGCATTTCTAAACTATACGACTTAAACTAAGTGTCTGCTTCAAAATTAAGTTCAGGTAGTGTCAGAGTCACTGTTTTTGGGGGAGAAAGATTTGATTTATTGACTTGTTTTGAGAATACTTGATTTATGGAACAGCAGAATGAAGCACTGCATAAACTCTTCTTCATGTGAAATATCTGAAAACTAAGTCCAAGTTGAAGAAGGTGCAAAACCCTAATTTCTCCTGGAACTCCTTATAATATTCAAAGGCAAGGTATGAAATACTAGGATGTAAAATGTGGAAAAGTCCCTGTAAGATGACTATCTTGTTGTATTTTGCTGGAAAAATTGTCATTAATCATCCAATGTTTAACATAAATACAAGGAAAGGTATTTCTAGAGTTTTCTGTGTGGGTTTTATTTTTTGGTGAGACCTGTGATTGACTTGAACAGCTAATTCATGTGGACCCTGTTAGTTATTGATTTTATACCAGCTCCCAGGTGTAGTTAGTCATTAACATATGCAAAACTTGTCATTTATGTATGTCTTCTGGGGGAAGTGAATACTGAAACATCAGGGCTTTCATATTTGGGAGGAAAATAATTTCTCTGTCTGGCCAGTTGCCTTCCTCCCATTTTGTGTTTTGTTTTGCACAGACGTAAAGGTTTTAAATCAGAGAGTGATCATATCATTGAATTACAGCATATGTATTTCACAGAACTAAGCTGAAATAAATGCTAGCAAGCTTTTTGTGCAAGTGGCACATTGATTCAAATTTGGGACATGCTTCCAAGAAAACATCTCATGGGTGATCCCTGGTGTTGCTTTTCCCAGTAGGGAAAGCAGTGACTTGATGCTGATAAACTTCATGAGTATTGTTGTTATCACAGGGGAGCTGTACTGTTTCTAAGAGTTCTATAATTTGATGGCTCTTTTAAGCCTAGTATGATACATATCTTGATGAGGTAGGAAAGGAGCTCATAAAGAGCTTAAATATGCTTGGAAAATATATGTGAATAAGAATTCTTTCCTACCTTATGAAAGTAACATTAAATGGAAATAGAGTAATGCGGGAATCCTTATTTAAAACTGGAATTATACAAAGATTGGAACTCTTGAGGAGTTTGTAGTATGAATTCACATATATTTTGCCAAACAGTCTGTGGGTTACTAATGAAGAATATTCCCCCTTCAGTCTTGTTCTTCATATGCAGATAATTTAGGTTTATATTCTTACAGCTATTAAAACAAGATTACACCTTGACCTTAAACCATAGAGATAAAAATAACAGTTCTGTTCACTTTCTTAAACTCTTGTATACCTCCCTGCAATCAGTTTTTCGTATTTCTCAATTCTATGGACTTTTTTCCCAAAACCAGTTGAGGAATGTAATTTTATGCTACACGCTGCAATTGTCCATAACTATTATCTGCGTACAGGAGAGTACTGGTGCTGCAGGACGGATCAAAGAGATGTGGTTGTGACTCTCCTTTAGCAAAGATAAATTTCTGTTGCACATACTAAGTGGTTGTCAGTCAGCAACACTGTCAAAAATACTCAGCAATACCGATGAGGCAACTGAAATGCTGCTTGATTTTTAATTAGCTTCAAATATTTTTAGATCTTGCAATTTTGAATGTGAGTTTTGAGTCAGCAGATTTGGTCTTAAGACAGAAAGGAGGGCAGGAAGACATCTGATGAGTGTTAGTGCCTTCTGTTTAACCTATGTCTGTCTATTAAAGGATGTGTAGATTTTAAAGGATGCTTGTTTTCTAAATGAAAATTATATGAAGGTAGTGAATAGGCTTTGTCACAAATCTTGATTTCCTTCCTCACTCCTCACTTTTTCTCTCCCTCAAACAGACTTCAACTTATGTTGTTTGTCTTTGCAAACTTCTAGTGCTGCGTTTGATACAGTCCTTGGAATAAATGTTGCTGTAAAGAAGCTGAGTCGTCCTTTTCAGAATCAAACCCACGCAAAAAGGGCTTACAGAGAGCTTGTTCTTTTAAAATGCGTCAATCACAAAAATGTAAGTTTGGCTTTGTGTTTCTCTCCCTTGTTACTGTCAGTTGTCAAAAAAGCTCAGCTTTTGTAACCAAAGTAATGGAAAAATAGTGAGAGAAAGACTGGAAAGACTTGCTTTTGGTAGTGCGCTTCTCCACAATGGATGTTTTAGCTCTTGGGAGAGCTGTTTGGAGTGTGAAGTGCCAAGATGAGGATGTTTTTGCTATATTGTTGGTATAGGTTTACTATTAGTTTCAGCTTTATAGTGCTGGCCTTGCTGTATTACATTTGCCTTTTTAAACCATACTGCAACAAAATTTGTCTGGCAGTGTGTTTGTTTGTGAGTTTGGCTCTTGTAACTGCGCTGTAGTGAAATGTTCTGAGCTTAGATAAGATTGTCATTAAATACAGTGTTTAAGTGGTGGGGTCTGCAGGGCTGCAGCACTGTCTAACAGTTTATTGGCAAACAGAAGTGAAATACTGTGGACAATGCATATATTGAAGTCTGGAACCTTCTAAAATAACAAGCTTTAATGTCAATACCTTAATGTTCAAGTACAAGATTATATGGTTTACGTGACAGCTGTTTTCTGATACTAGCGTGAGCTAGAAACATTGTTGATCGTTGGAAGTTGTACCCCTCAGGACTGAAACTTCCTGGAGTCAATCAGCCTTTTGGGACTGATTTCAAAGCAAGCTTTTGTTGAAGTCCAGAAGTAGCAAAATAAAAGCAAGTTGGTTATTAAGGATGGCAGTACAGTAATTTTAGTAGTTCTTCTGGAAACCATACATCATAATTCAAGTTTAATGGGATGGTGTGGGGCACCTCTGTGTACACGTTGTTTGACAGCCTTGGTTGAAATTCCTTGCTTCACATGTGTTTTTAAAATCAGAGGTTATTATTTATGGGCAAAAAATTGGATATATTTCAGTCACTGGGGAGCCAAGATAGGAGGTGTCATGTAACTTTAAAAAGAAAAAAGTGGTTTTGCCCTGTCTTAGTTCCTTTGGCATGCATGCTGCAGTTCTGAACTATTTCTGAATTGGCAGGTTTTCAGCACATGTCAGTTCAGTGAAGCCAAGTAATATTCAAAGTGTATATAGTAACAGTGTGCATTTGATTTTGTATAGGAACTAATGAGATAATGGATTTTTATGTGAATTTTTATGTGGAATTTTCTCCTAATTTTTATTTTACAGATAATAAGTTTATTAAATGTATTTACACCACAGAAGTCACTAGAAGAATTTCAGGACGTGTAAGTATTAATTTTTTTGTTTTAATTTTCCTGACAAATGCTGCCTAAGCCCTGGTGCTCTCTTTCCAGTATCCTACAGAATTCACACTTAGAAAATAAAGGGTAGCTGAAAGCTGAATTTAGCCTTTAATTAGTTGTTATTTCTAGATTTTTTTATGAAAGACCAAGAAAGTTGTTTCACTCCATGCATAACATGGAAGTGGGAAATAAAAGTGTTATTCACCTTTTAGTCATCTGCCTGCCATACTTTGCTGATTGCGTATGCATCTGATTTGCGTGCATTGTCCTTTAGCTAAATGGGTCACTGCAGGATAATAGCTCAGTCTTCATAACCTGATATCATTTTTTTGCCATGCCAGTCACATTGGCACAGCAGTATTTTTGGCCTCAATTAAGAACTGAAGATATTTCTTTTTGATGCAAGCAATGTCAGTTGGTCTAGAAAGGATTCATGGCAGTTTAATTGGTGGAGTATTCATAGATTCCAGTGAATGCGCTGTTGTGGTTTGTGTATTGGCTACTTGGGTAAACAGGGGAGTGTGTGTGTGTCTGAAGTGGATAAGCAGAGGGTATTTAAACTTGAAAATTCATTATATCTTCTTAGTTCTTGTTATGTCTTTCTTATTTTAAAATTAGAATACAGTGAAAGGAAGCATCAGTTTTTGATACATTGCAGTATCTGCAATTGCTGCATCAGCTTCAGTCAGTCTTAATTTTCCATGCTGCCTAAATTCAGAATTATTCTTCTGTATTACTTTGTATAAAACTAGAGGAATTCTAACCTGAGATGGATTACTGAACACTTAATTTTTAATAGTGAGACTAATTTGAATAGATAACTCAATTTTGAAACTGGTCATACATGGTTCTTTTAATCATAAGCTTTTTAACACTTATGTTGGCAGAATGGTTGACTTTTATTAAACACCTCTCACACTAAGCTTAAACCTGATATGAAAAGTAAGACTTGAGTTTTCTTAATGCTTTCTTTCTTGTGCTATAGATATTTGGTCATGGAGCTGATGGATGCAAATTTGTGCCAGGTTATTCATATGGAATTGGATCATGAAAGAATGTCTTATCTTCTTTACCAAATGCTGTGTGGTATCAAACACCTCCATTCAGCTGGTATCATCCACAGAGTAGGTAGTATTAGATCATTAACAATACTTTTATGAATATATGTTCTCAGGAAACAGGGGGGGTAAGGCAAGGGGTTGCTCTTTGCTAAACGTGTTTTTCTTTCATTCATAAGAATATTATTAAATCTGAAGATCTGTTTAGTTCAAAGATAAAAACTATTGTAAATAGATCTTAAATCAGGTTATCTGAACTGATTAAAAGATAAAACATGAGTATCTGTGGACCTTTCAAACTACAAAAGAATGAGTGTTAAAAAGTAATGTTTACCTCTTAAACATCTCTCTCCTTAAAGATGCTCAAAAGCTTGGACATGGGCCTGGGCCACTGCCTTCTGTTTTTTGCTGCTGCTTTTATCTATTTATTTCATTACTAGTCTGTTTGACAGTTCAACTTCTTTTCTGTTCCTTTCCTTTTCTTCCCCTACTTCCTGGACATACTTGTCTTAAATGTCTGTCTTTTGCCTGGTGGCTAAAAACTCTATCCAGTTATAGTTTAATATAATTTTTCCTTTATGTTCAATCCATAAACATGATTGAGAGGCTGTGTAAATTACAACAGATCTACTTCCTATAGATCTTTACTGAAAAAAAATCAGGCATGAAAATCCTGTGGTATGAGCAAGGAAGTTTATATATAGTTGGCTTATGTGTATCCAGGTAGTCTTGGCAATGGGTGTTCCTAAAGTAATGTAGTGAGGTGTGTAAGAGCCTGAAGCAAGGGGTACTGGAACTCCAGCTGAATTCCGCCTGACATGGTGAATGTGATTTGAAGCTAAAAGGAAGACAATATTTGCTGAGAAATTTGAGCTCATAAGGTCTAACATAGTGATCAACAGAGCTGATACTGGCTGAACAACAAAATGGGCAATGAGAGGAACTGCACAGTGAATAGCTAACCAGAGGCATGAAGTTATTTGAATGGAGAAGCTGAAGTGGTGAGCATTAGGTTGGGTTAGTTTAGGACCAAAATAAAATGAACTTTCTGCAGGGGAAACTCTTGATGAGAGATCTGGTTTTGAAAAGAAACCAGGCCAAGGAAGGAACAGAGCTGGGATAGTTCAGAAGTAATGGAATAGTAGGAATTGCATCGAGAAATTACTCAGACTCTGTGACTGGAGTCAGTTCAGTAGTGTTCTGCAGAACAGTTGCTACCTGAAATGTGCAGAACCATGTGAACTATTTGCATGTCCCCATCTCCCTCAAGAAAAGGAAGTTCTGTACCTGAGAACACGCTTTATTTTCACTAGCTGTGCGTTCCTTTTGGCACAGTAATGACTGTCCCCATTAAACACATCTCCTAAAGTAATCTGTTTTTTTCCTCACTCATGAGTTACTTAGTGTTTGCACTATATCCTAATTCTGTCAAATTTTCTAATCACTATAATGCACGTGGCTTATATGTTATTAACAGCTACAACTGATTAATGCTTTGTGTGTTGGGATACTCCTTTTCCTGCGCATAAATGCCTAATTGATGGCGATGTCTTTAGGATTTGTGCCCTAATAATGACAGTATTTGGAACCTAGTATACTATTCATGTGTAAAATAGGTCCACTTAATGTGTTTTAAGGAAAGAAATGTGTGTAACTATCCTACCAGAGCACAACTGGGTAAAATATGCTCTGCAGACAACTTTGATTCTGGTTTCCCCTGATTTTTTCTGAGTGCTGATCTGTGCACCATTTAACTTGTCTGTAGTCTGTGTATAAATAAGCAGATAGAACAGGAATAGACAATTGTTACTGAATTGGTGCGTGCTGTCTGGGGGTGGTGGTGATGTATTATTGTGTATGTTGATGCTTCCCTAACTGCAGTAATTTCTTGTTAGGATTTGAAACCCAGCAACATAGTAGTAAAATCAGATTGTACGCTCAAAATCCTCGATTTTGGACTGGCAAGAACAGCATGTACTAATTTTATGATGACTCCATATGTAGTAACACGGTATTACAGAGCACCAGAAGTTATCCTCGGAATGGGATATAAAGAGAATGGTAAGTTGCTGCAATAACACTTTAAATCCTTTGTCTGAAGTGTAGCTGTCTCAGAACTTAACAGTTTTGAAAGGAGGAGGGAGGGCTGGTTTCCCCCTGCCATGTCTGTTGTTAAAGTATGTTAATCATAGCAGTGGAAATAACAAAAATTACACTGTAATTATTTTGGTGAATATAACAGTTTTCTGCTCTGTGTGCATTTTATTCCCTCTCCCCTTCTATTGATATATCTTTTGATGTATTGTCCTGTTGTCTTGTTGACTTCTATGCCAGTACATCTTCTTGCTTTATCACATGGGCTTGGGGATATCATGCTTTTTTTATACATGTCACTTTGGTTGTGTAAAAGAAGGGACTCAGGGCCTTGCTGGGCTACTGATAATGAAAATGAAAAACGTGTAATGCGCCAGGCAGCTTATTGTGCAGCAAGTGCAGATGTGGATCAGAACTTTAGTAGAGGCTGGTCTGGATAGGACAAAAAATAATCTGCAGGACTGTAGGAATACAGTATGAGCTTACAAATAACTAACTGTGGTATTTAAAAACCCTCTTTAATCTTTTGTCCTTGTTGCACCTAACATATGATAGTGGATATCTGGTCTGTTGGGTGCATTATGGCAGAAATGGTCCTCCATAAAGTCCTGTTCCCAGGAAGAGATTGTATCCTTCTTCATGGTTGTTTCAGTAAACACTGGTTGTGTTTCACAGAATGCTAATAGCAAAACAACAACAGTCAGTTGGTGTTGATATGATTGAAAATTCATGTTAGCAGTTTGGTTTTCCACATTGTTGTGTTTTATTGTAGATGCTAGATGTTTTTGTTTGTTTTCCTCACTTTTGTTCATGATACTTCATAATTTGACCATTTCATTTTTACTTTCAGTTGATATCTGGTCAGTTGGGTGCATCATGGGAGAATTGGTGAAAGGTTGTGTGATATTCCAAGGCACTGATCGTATCCTTCCCTAGTCATCCTTGAATCCCCTTCCACTTTCAACAGAAACACTATTCTTTTAATCTGTATAAGTATAAAAGCATAAACAATATTTTCAAGAATATGTTTTAATAGATCTACTGTACTATTTGAAATTAGTGTCATTAACCAAATTGTAGAGCTTTCCATTTTATTTTCTTAGTAGACTGTATTTAATGTAATTTGAACTGGTTGAATCCATGGAATTCATATTAAGAGCTTCAGCTTTTATAACTTAAGAAAGGATACTGTTAGGTTTAAAAAATAAATAGCAGTAAGTATATTTTCTTCTTTGTAGATAATAAGTATTACAAGCAAAAGACTACAAAGTGACTTTTTACTGTGCATGGATTTTGATATTTATTTGAACAATAGACTCATTTTTATAGTACAATTCAGTTTGTCAAATTTTTCTCTTGCTTATTAGCACTTGCTGGGCAAGAGTGTCCTAACTGCAATCACACTGCATGAGAAATCTTTTATTACTCTTATTTCATATAAAAAGAAAACCTTTTTCTTTTAAAAGTTTTTTCATTCTATGAAAATCTTATTTTGGACTTACTTTTTGTATAAGATTGTTATTCCTCCATTTCTGCCTCCGATATTTTTGACCCAGATCTATCTCCATAAAATCTGCTTTCTTGTATGATAGTAATAGTAGGAAATTTTACTGTATTAAAAACAAACCCCTCACATCTATGTTTTCATGCCTTAGAGATTCGGTATCTCAGACAAGTCTATACTCTGATTTAAGTAAACAGAAGTGATCATTTACTAAAGTAAATGTTCTTTGAAAGTTTTGATGTATTTCAAAATCTTTCCCTAGAAACATTACAAACATTTGACTCATTCTAAAATTCCAATTCTAAAACTTGGAGTAAAACCGATTTCATCTTTTATAAATACTGTCTTACAAAGTAGTAGTGTGGTAGGACTAGATGTTCTGAATTGATGAGCAAATAAATAGAATCCAGATGATATAATTAAAGCACGACTGCCAGTTATGCCTGTAGGTCATACAACGCTACAGCTCCTTGTGGTCCAAGATTTTGAGGACACTGTATTTTTGCTCATCAGCAAGAAGTTGAGTCCATCACTAAAGATACCAAGTATGTGTTCACAGGTATCAGTGTATCTTATAGAGGAGGGCTTTCAATTTCAATGCTAAATTTCATGACACTAATCTTCAGCAGCTGATCATGCATTATTTAGTAATACAAATGATTAATTGTTAAATAAGTCTTTTTTGTTTTCCACCTTTCTTCCTTTCTATACTTATTGTTTTACCTTTTGAAGCCTTCAGACCAACCTAACACAATTCTTCATGGATGTTATATGTCTGTCACCTGCATGTCAGCATGAGCTATTTTGAGTTATTCATGAATAAATGAAGGAAATTTTGTCCATACTTGTTGACTAAGCAAGTTATATCTGTGGTTTTCCAGAGGTCACTGAAGTTCCACCAGTCTGTGTTTCAAGGAGTCTTCTCCCCTGGTATCTTATCAAAGTGCATAGCTGTGCTTACAGTGGTTTTTACTTCTTGTAAGACTTTCAGTTCTCTTTAATGTGAAATACTGATAACTGTTGTTGAAACTTCTCCTGAATGATAACTGCTTCAGTCAGATTGTCATTTTCTTTTACCTTCAGCTGCAGGGTTTTGTTGACGGAGTGGTTTGTGGGCAATGCTGGTGTAAACAGCCATGAAGCGTTGCTTTTTGTGGGTGTGTGTATTCTTGTTAAGCTTCAATTGAAAACTGACTTAGTATTTGGGGATTTACAGCAGGGAATCAAGTTCAGCATGTATTTTCCCATAGGGTCTACAGGATTGTCAAGGTACTTAGAGCAGTGCTCTGGGTGGAGTGAAGTGCTCTGCATAGCCAGCATGATGGATGCACTGGAACTGCTCCTGACTGGTAGTGTGGGGACCTCGGTTACTGGCAGTGGCTGTTGCACTAGAAATAACAAACAGAAAACCAGGCAATGTAGTTACCTAGGATGAAATAATGGAAACCTAGCAGCACCAGTGTGGTTTTAATGCTCTTTCTGACCAGATGGTGAAGGAAACTATTTGCTTGACTCATGCAAAAAGCTTGAGGGGGTACTCATGCTTACTTGAGGACGATCATGTTTTATTGTGATTGTAACAGGGTCTCTGTTTTCAACTTTTCTTCCAGAGTCCCTGAAAGTAGGCAGATATACTTGGCATGGGCTAAAATTCTCTTTACCTTTGACCCCGAGGTCACTAGGACAGTTTGTCTGCAGGTTGTAAGGTTATTCATACAGCATGTGCTGCCTGCTTTACATGGAAATTACGTTTTCTCCCATTTGAGTTTCTGATAAAAGGCTTAACTTATTTCAAGTCCAATCCTACATTGAGGGTTTGTTTTTATTTTATTTTATTTCAGCTCTCAATATCTGTAAAGCATTTTAAGCAATCCAACTGAGACATTTTTTCCCCTGTTTTTATTACTGAAGTGGGATAGGTCATTAAGTTTTCCTTCCCTCCCTTCTGTGCCCTGAGGCTACAGTAGAGTAGACTCAATTTGAGTGCTGTTACTCAAAGAAAAAGCAGCTTCTTGAATCTAGATTGGTGGAGATCTTGCAGAAACCATTTTTCCAGCTAGGAACAAAATTTCCTGTTGTATGTTAAAATTTCCTTTGTATGTGCTTTGTTTTAGCATGCGAGTTAACAGTATTGACTTCTTAATTTTTATTTGAATACAGTTTTTCCATTGGAATGTATTCAATAGCAAATTTTCAATCTTCATATCAGAAGTCTAAAGTCTTAACCAGAGGCATTGAGTCTATGTATATTTCTAGCTGAATTCTTGGCACACTAACTGAAATAAAAGTACCTCGGTGTTTTTATAATACATCTTAATTCAAAGTGCAGCAAACTTACTGTTTCATTACAAAATCTGTCTGTGAGAATGGATGGGTTGATCATGAATTTAGCTAGGACATTTTGCAAGGTCGGCGGTTAGATGGTTAGACTCTGCTGGAATTGCACATTCTTTTTATCAGGAAAAAATGTAAATCTGAGTAAACTTCAGTATCAGGAATATTAACTGCAGTGTCTTCTGAGTGTGATAAATGAGCTTTGTTACCTCAATGAGGCTTACTCAGAGCAGCCTTTGGTATCTCTGTAACCCATGTCACTGTGTCTAGGAGAAATGCCCTCACTTGAAAGCAGGAGAAGGGGCAGTCCAGAAGAAACATAAGGCACAATTCCTCAAGCATCCAACCAAAGCCCCAAAACTGCTAGTACCCGAAGCCTCATTTCCTTAGGAGACGAGCACAAAATTCCTTACTTTGAATGGGATGTATTTGTTTGCTTTAGGGTCTTTTTCATGTATTTTTCCATACTTTCAAGAATCTTCACTGTTGATGGTATCATGTTGTACTTTGAAGATTCAAAGCAGCCTTTCTTTCCTGTCCTTCTCCTTTGCTATGGATACAATTGCCAAGTAAAGCTGATTTTAGACTCAAAGAAAGTATTGCTTTCAATACTAGCCAATAGATAATAATGAGGAAAAGATACTTGGGCATAATGCGTTGTGCAGCATTTCTGGCTTGTCCTTAATATTATGAAATGCGAATCTTAACTTTTTTTAATGTCAATCTAGCTTTTTGCATGGCAGCTCGGAATACTGTTGATGCTAGAATGAAGTTCATGTTTGTGTCCTTTGTTCGAGTTTCCATTAACTTTTCAGATTTCTGTAAGTGATATTTTTGTATAGTGCAGACTTCAAATTCTTCAGCTGATTTTCCTAAAGATATGGTGCAGATATTGATCAATGGAATAAAGTTATTGAACAATTAGGCACACCATCAGCAGACTTTATGAAGAAACTACAGCCTACAGTGAGGAATTATGTGGAAAACAGGCCAAAATATCCTGGTATTAAATTTGAAGAGCTCTTCCCAGACTGGATATTTCCATCAGAATCTGATCGTGATAAGTTGAAAAGTAAGGCAAGATTTTTTGTAACTTTTTCTTTTTAAGATGTTAATTTAAAATCTCTGCAGTACACTTAATAAACAACCAAAACTAATATAAAATGTTTATTGCAATAGGTGTCAATATAAGAAGCTCCATTACTTCTGTTCCCTATGACGTGTCCTGAAATCTTAGTAGTAGTTGTTAAATACAGAACTATTCCCTGTTCTCAGTATTCTGTTTAATTCTCTTAATTCTAGTCTATTGAAAAACATCCGTTGCTTAAATGTCCTCTATTATGGAGATTATTTGTAACTATCTTTTTCTAGTTGATGTGTATGTATAAGTTAGTTTGGCTATACTTTGACTTCAGATGATTACTGATACAATGAGAAAAAAACACCTTATATTTTCTAGATGGTCAAATATTTATTTATACATAAAATAACTTGTTATAGCCTATTTTATTAGTACAATGGTCATTCAAACAACAAAGACACATCAGTGAAGTGCCACTCCGACAATGAGTAGCCAGTTATCCCTCAGTAACACTTCTAAAAGAAAAACTAATTTGATACAGAAATCTGATCAGATCATTTCTGTACCACGATATTTTTAATAAGCTTTAAAAAAAAATACATTTAGTGTGGTTTATGTTCAGTAATTAGTGCTAAATAAACTGTGACCCGTGTAACAGCAGAACTGTTCAAAATTGAATTTAGTTGGTCTCAGTTGCTGGGTTTATTTTGGATAATAGCAAAAAATACATAGCTGTATAAGGAAGTTAGGATTTGTGGGTCTACTTTCACAGTGAAATCTGACATGCATGTCTTATGTTCCTAGTATTCATTTCCTATGGCAGATGTTAAACTCTACAGCTCTTTTATGTGTATGTTCTTTTCATTTTTACTTTCTAGCCAGCCAAGCTAGAGATTTATTATCAAAAATGCTTGTAGTAGATCCAGACAAGAGAATTTCCGTAGATGAAGCCTTACGTCATCCTTATATTACTGTCTGGTATGATCCAGCTGAAGCAGAAGCTGTAAGTTTCCATTTAAAATAACTTTTAAGATACCGGTTTAATAACTTTGAAGTTTAGTTTTAGTTAGGTGCATGCTTTGAACTCATTCTTTGGCTAGCAGAAGCCGCACATAAAGCCTTCAGATCAACATTAGGGGCAGAATCACCTTAAGAACAGCTGCTGGAGTGCAGCTGATTTCATTTTGAAAGCGGTTGTTTATAGTTCCTTTTACTTTACAGAAGGAGTTGCCTATGTGATGGCAATCTAGGCTTTTCAAAAAGGGGTCTTTCTCTAAGGCCCCATAAAGCGTTAAAATGAGTGTAGTTTTAGTTGTGCTTTTAAGCAGCCTTTCAGTGGCAGCAGGACATAAAAGCAAATTCTGGACTCTCAAAATGAATGTGAGGTATAGCGTCTAGACTGCCAGAGATGAAGGTAACAAAATGCTAAGAAAGCTGTCAATTTTAGCTGTTTTAGTTATGATTGGTTGTGTTAACCTCATGTGGTAGATACTCTATAGACTTTCTTCTCTTTGTAGCCTCCACCTCAAATTTATGATGCGCAATTGGAAGAAAGAGAACATGCAATTGAAGAATGGAAAGGTAAAAAAAAACTATGTCAAATTACATTTATTGTAAGAAGTTGTATTATCAGTGCATGGCTTGCAGTACATGTGCTCAATAAAATGCCACAGTTTTCATCTTTTATGCTTCTCATTTGTAATCTCAACACTTCTTTTTCCTTGATAGAAAATCCTGTGATAGCAACATGCTTCTCTTCTCACTGCATTATTTAAGCCGTATCTCTTGACAGTATTTACAAATTCATTTGTTTTAGAAGTCTTAAATAGAAGAGCTTTTTTGGTGTGTGTGGCTTTGTTTGATTTCTTTTTTTCTCTCAATGCATATTTATTGATCAAATAGGTTAAACTGTTGACTTTAACAAAAGAACACACGGCATTGTGGCATTGAAATCAATTCACCTTATAGTGGTAGTCAAATACATTAAGTGGTGAGGCAGTTTAAATTTTAAGCAGCTACCATCAGAGGACCAAAAGCAATAGATATCTTTGACTCCTTTGAAAGCTGCTTGATTTTGTGAAATAGCATTATAAATCTCAGTATTGATTCTGGCTTATATTTTCTTTAGAGCATGTCTGCGCAGGTATACTTCAGATTATTTGGGTTAATGCAACGTGGAAAATTAAAATGTTTCTTTAACTCTGATTGAATCCATTTGTAAATCATGTTACTGCAAATTAAGGAAGTCTGTATGGACTTTTGAAAATCCAAATATGACTTTTTTTGCCCCACTTAATATCAGTGCATCATAGATACACCTAAAGTATTGGGGTGGGATGGTACCTATTTTTAAGTGGACAGCTGTTTATAAAATATGTTGATTTTTGGTACATGCTTAATGTCTTTCTGTCATGCATAAAGAAAATCCATAGAATTATCTGATGCTGTAGGCCTTTAAAAAAACAAAAGTGAAAATAAATACTTGCACAGCTGTCCTTCCAGACTGACCCTTAACCATTTCATTGACCTTTGTACATATGTGAATTGTGTACAAATCCTCCGTGACCTTACAGTATGTTTTCTCTCTTTTTCTCTCATTCTTCCCACCCTTCTCATGTAAGAATTAATATACAAAGAAGTAATGGATTGGGAAGAAAGGAGCAAGAATGGTGTGGTAAAAGATCAGCCCTCAGGTTAGTCATTGTTTCTGTAGTTCTCCCGTAACTATCATGCATAGTGCTGATCTGTTGCACTAGTGAATGAAGATATCCTGCTTAATAATCCAGGTAGGCAAAAGTTTCATTGCTCAAGATTCTTTGAGATCCTTTGGAGTTCCATGTGCAGTAGTTTTCCATTGTTACAAAGTAAGTTACAGGAAAACTTTAAGGAGTCCTGTGTCCCAAGACCCTGAGCTGCTTTCTCCCCAGAGGGCCATCATCAAATGAAATAATCAATACCATGCTACGTCACTTGTTGCAACATAGATACCTTTTACACTGAATGCTTATTCTATGGCTCTGCATGAATAAATCCCTTTCATGCAGGCTTAAACGTCACTGGGGCTCCTTTAAAATAATTGATAGTGCAAAGTATTTATGCTCATGATTGAATCCTTGATGTTTGCTGCTGTTCATGTTATACATTGCCTCCCCCCACCTACCCCTGCCTTCCTCTCCAGAAAGGGAGAAGCATAAATATCTCTTCTCTTAATGCTCACTTTTAGTTTTGACTACTAAATGCTTTCTTTTCTACGCTTTCTTTCTTTTTCTAAGGATTTCTGTGGAGAAAGTGATGTTATTTGTGTCTGCAATATTGTCTTGCCTCAGATTTTATTATGTTTGGTTTACTTAGCACAGATGCAGCAGTGAATAGCAACACCAGTCCTTCCCAGTCATCATCTATCAATGACATTTCATCCATGTCAACAGAGCAAACATTGGCCTCCGATACAGACAGCAGCCTCGATGCCTTGACAGGACCCCTCGAAGGATGTCGATGATCAGCCAGGATTGCAGACTTGACTTTGGAAAAGATCTCTTGCTTCCATTGGGCCTGAATTGCTTGTAAGTTAATGGAACCAAGTAGAAAAACTCCATGTTCTGCATGTTCTGCTAAAGTAATGCCTGTTTTTTTTTTTACTCAGTTGTTATGAAATTGCCTGCTTAATGTTGTAGAATGAAAGCAAATCAATGTTTAAAGAACAAAAGATTTTAAATTTAGACTCTATTATAGGCTTTTGTTTGTTTCAGCCTATTTCAGGTGAGCAGTTATAATAGACTTTTAGCCAATAACTCCTCCTAAGTGGATTCATGAATCTTCAGTCCCAACCAGCAGGCTTCTGTGACACAATGGTTGTTTACATTTTAGTACAGTATTGCTCATTAGAGGTTTTTTGAATGTATAGTCTCGATGAAGTTTGTTTTAACGTGTGACTGTGGCAGTTTGCTTTATTTAACGACTGGAGCGTTGTATGTAAGTGTGATCTCACACATTGAATGCTGTCAGTTCCGTGTTTAAAGGGTAGATATTCTTCCACGTAGCACTTTTTATTTTATTGAGCCCTTTCTAGCTTCACTTTCCAATTCTGTCTATCTTCTTGTAGAAGAGATAAACGTGAAGTGTAAAGAATATAGCCATTACTTTGTATTTCACCTGTGAGCATGTGTGTCTAACTTTTCAGTTCTTTAAATATGGGTGGAAGATACAGTGGCTTAATTAAACGTTAAGGAAGGATGAGTGACTTATCTGTGAAGCAGTGCCTGTTTAGAAGAGGAGAGAGTGCTAAAATGTTCTGTATTTTCTAGATTGTGATACTGGTCCTTTACCAAAAACAAACAGAAAAGGAAATTTTATCTGTGATGCTCTTCATTCACTGCAAACTGATAAAAGGACAGATGAATTGGAGAGACTTGCAGCCTCAAAAAGAGCTGCATAAATGTGTTCCATTTTTTTAATGGGTCCATTCTGTCTAGTGAGTAATTAAAGAAAGAAAAATGCAGTAGTTTTGAGTCACTTGTAAATTAAGTATTTAGTTAACAGAGTTTAGCTCTATTCTGGCCTTAGGAACAACTCTCTGTTTGTACTGGGAGATGAAAACATATTTAGTACATATTTTCTAAATACAGTGTCAGAGAAGAGGAGATTGAGAGTATTTGCTGCTTCAATACAGGCTTATCAGTACAGTTTTCAGAACCAGATAATACAAATGTTGCCTGTTACACTGCATAATATGTTGAATTAGAAAATGTATTTGTAGTAGACTAGGGCTTAAATTGCTTTATACTGCACTCCTGTGAATCTGTGCACGTTCACTTGGGAGTGCACAGGTGTGAAACTTTGCTAAAGGATCGTGTGTGTGTGTGCATGCATGTGAGACTAAACTATATCGCTATAAGAGTAATAGAGATGTACAAGATGAGGTAAAACACCACTTTCTTAAAGGCACTATATTTAGCTGTTGATCAAGATACTCTTGACTTGAATATATAAATAGGACTTATAAAATATACTGGCCCAGCCAGCCACTGCATTACTGGCATATTTCTCTTGTAAAAGAAAACTCGCTGTTGTTTCTGACCTTATAATTTGAAAAGCATCGATTTCTCTTTATGCAATATTACTTTTATGTTAAAATTGTACCACTTTTTAATAGCTAAATTTGCTCTAGCAAAAATATTAAGGTTTTACTGTCCCAGAAGGTTAAAAAAAAACAAAACCAAAATGAACCAACATTTCTTAACATTAAATTCAGAATTGTCATCTGGAATCTTGGATTTTTAAAATTCTATTTAAATGAGTTGCAGGATATTAGGGCTTGGGTTTTTTCCTTGTTGTTTGGTTTTAAACCTATGGATACTTTTATTTTTGGATACTGACAATATATGTGAAATATTTTTAGTGCACTTTTGTCACTGGAAGAAAAACAACCTACATTTAAAAATAGCTATTTACCATATAACAGAACAGTACAGGTTGCTGTTCTTTGGCATCTTTTTAATCCTTGTTATTTGTGTAAGTTAAAATTACTAAAGACCTATTCAAAATGAACAGTAGTGATCCACTATGCAAGTAACTTCCTTGGATTTCATTTTTCCACATTCTTATCTTTTTCAACTGAAGTTGCACTGTGCTATGTTCATTTTAACAGTTACTGCTTTAGAAGGCTTAACGCAACAAAGATTGTAGATATTTAGGGTTGAATTTTTTCTATTGGCTTTGGTCTGCTCAAAACTATGAGGGTTGGACCAGATGACCTCCAGGACTCTTCCAACCTAAATTATTCTGTGATTCAAAATGTCATTTAATGTTTAACACAACTGCCCTATCTCCATGATTTGAACTGGTATCTGACCTTCTCCTAGAGCATACTGTTAGTATATGTGCTCTTGAAAAAGAAGACCCCAGAGATTAACTGAGTTTCTTTGTAAATCTTCTTGTAGATAAGCTGTCTCATACCTTATTTTTTTAACATCATCTTGCTATGGCATACATTGAAGCTTCCAAGTTTTACAAAAATGTTGCTGCCTTCAGAGTATGCATGAAATGTCTGTGAATATTGTGGATTTTGATTCCAATATAAACCAACATCAAATTGCTAATACCTGTATGAACACTGATCTCAAGAAGACACATATGCAGGTTATATTCGGAAAAACGCATGCAGAATAGATGCAAGCTAAAGCTCCCATGCTATTTCAGTGTGCACATATAGATTCTGAATGCACTGCATGCCAATTATATGCATCTAGTTGTATTCCTGACTGCAGATTAAGTTCAGTGCCACGTTTGTGATAATGGTCGTCAATGCCGTGAGAGCTTCATTGATGGAGAGCAAAGTGCACGTGTAACTTGACAAGGGTTTAAAAGTTGAGAGTTTGGTGTGCAATAGAATCACTTTTATTCCTAATACTAAAATCATGTATGTTAAGTGATGCAATTGACCATTTTTTTTGCACTTTGGCATTTATAAATATTTATATGTATTTAAAGATTAAGACTATGTGAGTGTGTGTATGCATATATATATAAAGACACCTGCTCAGTTTCGTAAAAATGAATGTTACTTTTCTTTGAGAGACTTTGTATAGTGTTAACACTACTGCGGTATACATAAACAGTTGATGAAATCAGACCAAAAATAAGTGGTGGTCAAAATAGATACAATCTGTAATCTTAACTGCTCACCTGAAAGAAAGAGGGATCTATGGCTATCAATCAGATTAGTTACCAGAAACATTGTTAGATGTCTGAACACTGAGTAGCTGAATGGCATTGCAGAAATGGAGTATGTTTTAAACAGTTCGTTTCATCTGTGCTCATATCATTTTTCCTCAAAAACCTACGACCTTTAGAAAGAAAAGCTTGGCATTTTGAACTCTGATAAGCAGCCTGTAAGTGTGATTTGAGGAAATACTGTGATATGGCAAATTCAGTTTTATATTGAAAAAGGTGAGAAGTGAATGTTAAAATTAAGGCTTTGTCTGCATGAATCACACAAAATAAACTAGTCAGTGACTGGAAACTACTGTTTGCAAACAGCCTTGGAAGTTTTGTAATGTTTCCGTTTGCATTTCCTTGTCAAAATAAACTCAACCTTAACTAGAAATTAACTAGTTAGTTGGTAAGTTTCAAAAGCTGTAAGGAACCAGAGGGCTCTGGAGGTTTTCGTTGTCTCTTTTTTAAGACCTAACAGAGCATATGTGTTTATTCAAAATTAATTAAGGAAAACCAAAGTGATTCCATATGTTCAATTTTCCTTTCCTAAAGGAAAGTTGGTTTCCTTTTTAGATTTATTTGGCTTTAAATCCTGATTTTATCAATTAAGTAGCATTTAGACATTCAAAATACAGCTGACATCCCAAGTCTCCAAGAAGCGAGTGGATGACCCTTCTATTGGCAGAAGTGCAGTCCTCTGTTTTCACGTGTGCTGGAAGTTGAGATGTTAAAGTGCAGACAAATCTTTCCTGAACATAATCCTGGTTTGGAGTACGGGTTCAGTCTTGCAGCAATACAGTTTGTGTGGAGTGTTTCATTTGAACTGTGACACTTGAAGTGGAAGTTTAAGCATGGTGGGGGGTAAATGCTGAACAGCCTTTGTCTGTATATTCTACATATGTCATATGGATTCTATCAGGGCTTGATGCTAAACTTAGTGATACCATATACTGGGAACCAAATTCTTTCCTGGGAGGTGTATTGTGGAATTCCTGCTCAAAACTGGCTTTGATCTAGGGATGCCAGCACCCAGATGCAGAATTTGGACTTGAGTTCCTATAGATGAATCTAGTGATTTCTTTGCTTTTCCAGAGTGTCTTTTGGTTTTATTTTTTTTTAAGATGTTGAAATATGACAGAAAAAAATGTATTCTGGCTTATTATTTTACATATATTTTAGATTGTCTATTCCATGAGTGATAGTGATGTTCTAAAAGCTTATTACACGACTTCTCAGATCAGTTTTATTTTTTGCCCGCTCTGCATGCTAAGAATGTCTGGAGCTAAACTAATGTTTTAAGCAAACCATCTTTTCTCATATTCGTGTTGGAGGAAAGTGGGGAGATAACCATCGTATCTGTTTGTGTTCTATAAAATGACTATTTTTGTAGCTAAAAGTTTAGTTGCGGGATTTCAATCCCACACAATGTTGCTTTGTGGCTATAAATTTCCCTGGGTCCGCTATTTCAATCAGTATGTGTATAACAAGTCCAGTATGAAATTAAACTAATAAAATGCACTCTTCTGCAATTTGTTATTGAAAATACGGCAAATTATTTTGGTCCAGGACTTCAAAACAAAATAGAGAAAATCCATGGAACTCTTTAAGGTTTTTATTCCTTGATGCTGCTGTTTGTTTTATGGAAAGGTGCTTGCAGTTTTGCACAGAAGAAATCAACTTCTATTAATTGCTGGGTTTGAAGCACTTTAGGATTCTTCTAAATACAGCCAGTTTATAATGTAAAAAGGAATGACATGAAAGTTTCATGTGTTTAAATTTTGGTTGCCATCTTTGCTATTCTGATGGATTTGATCAGTGTGTTCCTTTAAATATAAATCTGTTTTCAGAGATTTGAAATGAGAAATCTTTTTAATGGGCCAAAATTTAACACACAGGAAGAGATCATTTGAGAAACATCTTGGACTCAAACGCCCGTAGGTGACTTGAATTGCAATGTGACTACCTAACCATTTGTTAGATAAAGAAACAACAAAGTTACAACAGTGTGTGTTCCTATAGCGAGTTCCTATAGCTATGAGCACTGGGATTCTTTTCCTCAACAAAAAGCTTTTTATTACCTATAGCTACACATCATAAGGTAGTTGTATCTGCTGTGGTGAGACCAGAACAGCTGTTTATTAGGACTCCACTGCAGTAGATGCTGTGTGAATATACCACAGAAAGACATTGTCCCTGCTTTGAAATGCTAGTCCAAAACCCTGATGCTTTCTAGGGTGTACTTAAGCAAATCCCTGTGTATTTGTTTCTGTAGCTCAGCACTCTGTAGTTTCTTAGGGTAACAAAAGCAGAGAAGAATGTAATCGGGTAAGAGCAGCATTTTATGTTCGCTACCTGAAACAGTCCTATTTGTTACTGATAACAAAGTGAATTTAATACCTGTGAGCATATGCTAATGTGTTGTCTTCTAATGGGGAAGATCTTTTTTGAGAACCCAAGCTTGTCACATAGTTTTTCTATGAATTCAGATGCTTAAATCGGTGCTAATTTTTTAAAAGAAGATGTAACAGATGGCTAGCAGTGTATTTGTCCATTTTTGATACCTATATTTTCTTAAGTGGTGGCAAGCCAAACTTTATAAAAACGAACCAATGTGCATTTTCAGCTTCATCAGATTCCCAGATTTTCCTCAAGTAAAATGTTTAAACGTCCATGGTAGTTGCTGCTTCTTTGGAGCTATTGCTTTCAAGTGTTGTGTACACTAATAAAATGAACACAGAAAAGATAGCAAAGCATCACTGTCCTTTTCTTGAAGTTACATGATGTGTTGGGTTCCCCATGTGGTTTTAGTAGCTTAGTGTAATCAAGATACCTAATTAAAAGCAAGTCACAGATACCTGTGTGCAGTTAACTCAGTGCAGTGAAGCCTTACCAGGTCATTAAGATAATGTATAAAGATTATATAAATTTTCATCTATTTTGAAGAGGGAATAACAAATAGAAATAATTACCTGTTTTCATACGAATCCAAATGTTAATTCCAGAGAATATATTCTATGATTCTATAGTGTACTCCAGAACACATGCTATTAAAGAGTAGAATAGGCTCCTTGAGTCATTTGTTATGAAATCCAGTTTTATCTAATGATTCAAAATACCCCCCCCCTCCAAAAATCAGTTCTTTGAGAGTTTCTTTTGAGATGCCTTCAAGTTTTAAGTCCCTTTGGAATGCTTTCTATGGCTCGTTTTGGCCTCCCTTTCCCACGTTCTGTTTACCAAATGTCACAAAAAGTAGCATCAAGCCCTATCACTTATTACAGTGTTCTGATTTTATGGCCTTAATATTAGTTACAGTATGGTATATAATTTCAGAAGAAAGATGTGCTTTGAAGTCTAATTATATAGATACATGTGGCCTCTTTTGCCTATGAAATTAGGCTTTGATTGTCATATCTCATTCTTGATGCTTGTGCAATAGGAACATGTTCCTTTCAATGCAGTGGCTATTTTGTCTGATGCTGGATTTTATTTTCAGGATGACTAGAAAGTGTTTTGAGTTGGTTTTTATTTTTATCAACAGCAGTTTTGTGCTTCCTTGGTTTTTTTGATTGATTTTCTTCAAGGAAACTAGAATTTCTTCAGGAAAACTGTCAATAACTAGTTCTGAAGTTCTACTTCAGCCTCATTCTGAAGCTTTGTGGGTTTTTTTTCCTCCAAAAACCTTATCGTAAAACCGTACTAAAGCCACTGTAAAATGACAAATAAATATGTACACTTCAAAAACGTGAGCAGTCTCTCTTATTTACTGTAGTTATGTTCTCTTTTTCTTGATTCTTCCTGTGTTGAATTGGAATGCTTTCTATACCCAAAATGGTGTGTGCTCGTTGTTATCCTAAACCATAAAGTCTCAGTTACCACTTTAGCTTCCATTTAACCATAAAGTAAGCATTGGTATGACAAGGGAATGAAGAACAGCTTTAAGAGGTGGTTGAAGCTGCTTTCTCCTGGAACATCTGGAGACATGAACAGCATCTGGGTTTACTGGCAAGTGTGTTTTGAAATTTTGGGGGTTTTAAGTGATAGAAGCTTGCTTGGTAATACTGGCAGATCAGTATTCCCATCCATGTGCTTCAATAGCGTCAGCATCAGATTGTCAGACTTGTTGCAAGTTTCAGGTGAGCTACTGGCTATATATGTATGTATATACACACACACACACACACACACACACACATACATATATATATATATATATATATGTACACACACATATACACATACTTTGGAAGAATTTTCTCTTCACCTTCTGCTCAGACAATGTTGTGTTTCATTTCATTCTCGGTGAACACGGCAGGAGTATGTGTAACTTGGAAAACATAGTTCCATTGCACTCACTTTGAGGAAGAGGTGAATACTCTTGCAGAGACAGTGATGAGGTTTCCAGGCCCTTTACAAAGCTTTGATCAAATTGCTTTTGAGGGAGGTTTTGTACCATTAAAGGAAGGGGTCACATAGCTGCCTGTCTAGATGCAGGGTGAAGGCTCTCAGCCAGCCTTTGGCATTGTAAAAGCCTCACCTGTGACAGTCTGATAAAGTTTTTGCAGCAGCATTGGTATTTCTTGTGTGGAGAATGTGGAAGTTTTCTCTCTTTGTATGGGGCATTGCAACAGATGAGCTGGATGGAGCAGGGATGCCTAGGAGATCGCAAAGCTCCCCTGTATTTGGTGATTGATAGGGTGGCTTTCAGGTTGCTTCTTCAGCTGGAGAGGAAGATTTGATTCATTAAATAGTGAACAAAAAAAGAACAAAGAAGCAGGATGATGACGTGTGTGCAGGAAAGTACTTTACAAAGCATTATCCAAGTACATTTCTTGCCTTAAGCCATACCTTTTCTTTGGATTTCCTATATAAATTTCCTATATATATATATTATGTATAGTACTTGGAGTTGACAGGACAGGTGAAAAAAGGTAAGGAGGGATGGAACTGATTAAACAAGACCTCAAATAATTTTTGAGGCAAGTGGGACTCATGAAGACAGACTTTTTTCATTAATTAGATGAATTAAAAAAGTGGGGGGAAAAAAAGAAATGGGAAGAATATGAGTGCCTAGAATTCTCCATTACTTGGTGTGAAGGTAAGGTGGCAAAGAAACACATTATGGTTCAGTGATGCACGTGTGGAAACCCCGCAGTGCATGGAAGTGGTTGGCCAGCATGTCTTTCTGAGTGAAGGAGCTGCAGCATTGCCCTGGGCATGGAATAGGGAAGCGCTGCTTCCCTCCAGGAGCCTCCTGGGGTAAGCCTGGCCTTTTGATTCACTCCTGTTTGATCTTAAAACAAGCTGCTTGCTCTTCTCTGTGGAAGAAGAAACACATCTGTGTGGTTTCTGCTTATTCATCATGAGCTGTTTTAGTGATACACTGAGTTATCAAGTACATGGCCACTCTTGCATTTAATCTGAATGAAGAGCAAATAATGAACCATGCATTATTCTCATATAAAGTCCAATTTTAACTACAAGACAGGTTAAAGTGTACTGGTACCATGGCTCATGTTAAAGTTCTGCAGTGGCATAAAAGAACAGTGGTTATTTGATTAATATTTACCTGTATATGTGTCATTAATGCTGGTATCAAAATAGTTAACATGTTTCTCATGTGGAGAAAGGTACCTCTGGGGGATGGGAGGGAGGGAGCCTGCCAGTGGCAGTTTTAAGACTAATGTGTTCCTATGGGAGTCCTGTAGGAAGCTTATTATAATCCAGAGGAACAAATGGCTTTGTAAGAGCCCTTCTCATCCGTAAATTAACATCCCTTCAGTGAGAGCACAGGAATGGCACAACAGCTCTGCATCATGGGCACAGGACCACGTCAAAGTGCAAGGGGGAGATGCAGCTGTGGTGTCCCATTGTTCCTCTGTACTTGTCTCTAAACCAGCTGACTTAAGGATGCAGGTATGAGCTCAGCATTATTGTAGCCCACGTATTACCTATGGGACCTTGAGGCAGCTGATAGAACATACTCCAGCAGGCACAACATCCCTTGATTAAAACCACTCAGTCGCTTGGGCATTGAGCGCACGAGTACAAGGCTTGAGGCTAGATGAAAAACATCTATGATGAGTCCTTCCCCAGCACAAGACATGGGCTGGCTTGAGAGCTGGTAGTGCGAAGCATCTGAAAGATTTTTCCAGTGCTAAAAGAAAGGATCCCTGGCATTAGCAGGGTGGAGCAGAGGGAGTCAGGATCCGAATGAGTTTGTATCAACTGCTCACTTTATAATCGGCAGCCTAGTTTTTGCTGTTGGGTTTCTTATATCGCCTTTGGAAAGGGGGAGTCTGCTGAAATCAGGAGGTGGCCTCTCTACAGCTCAGCTCCACGTCAAACTGAGCACACCCCTGCTCATTTCCACCTGTTGATTTCCCCGAAGGTTTCAAAAAACTCTTCCATCTCTTTCTGGAGCATTTCATTTCTTTTCTCTGCATCTTCCTTTGCTCTCTCCGCATTTCGCATTTTCATCTCCACAAGACTGTACCACTTGCGCTGCTGTCCCAGTTTCGAATGCATACCCTTAATCTCTGACTGCAGCTCCCTGTTCCGCTGCTCCAGGCTGTTGGGAAGACACACACTGTAAATTACAGGCTCTTTCCCCCTCCTCTTTCTTAATAAAGCTTTTTTAAAGCAGTCCTTTTTAACATACGTTCCCATAAATACAAACGTTGGCATCCCTGGTTCTTTTCCAGTTTATGGTGTTATGTATTAAAATAAAAGCTGCCTTTTTTAGTTATCCTGATTTATAATATATATAAATACCATATAGCCAAAGGAGTCAGTTTCGGGGTTGGTTGTTTTTGTAGTGGAATACTACAGTAGTCAAAAGGCAAAGGCAACGCAACATATTTTAGGGAACACTTAGGATATTGCTTATATTGCAGTCCCCTTGAACTGCAATGGAAAATATAAGCAGAATACGGCAAATAGACAATAGAAAGACTAAAAACCTGGGAAAAGTTCCTTGAGTTCCTTTACTAAGAAGAAATTGAGGAATACTTCAAGTAATTAAAGCTAAAATGGATCTTTTTTTCTTTACACAATATTCATGGCGAAGTGTAATTCAACAGTACCCACTTGCCATCTGTTTTAGCGATGCATGTTGATGTATCTTGCTTTATGTCAATTCGCATGACGTATTTGTAACTTGCAGCTAATGAACAATATTATAATGTTCATTCCTTTTAATTGCACACTAAAAAAGCAGCGCTATTAGGAAAGTGGAGCTCGGAAACATTGCTGCCCTTTTTGCTTCGGTAACACGCAATGGCTAAATCTCTGTTCAATTGCTAAGATTAGAAAGTGGGAGAATACTTATGAGCGCTTTCCTCAGAGCTGTTTAAATTCATGACTTGCAATTTGGAAAGAATAATGACTTAGTGCGAACGCTGCTGAGCAGCCTGCGTGTTCTGCCCTAGAGAAATGCTCAGTATTGGATTAAGGCAAAAGGGAAGAACACACAACAGACCAGAGGCTTTTCAAGGCACTTTGCTCTGCCCTGCAGAAAAAACCTCTCATAGATGCTCTGGAGTTTCTCAAGCACTTCACATGAAAATGAATTCAAATAACTGAGTAACTGCTAATCTAATCCGGTAACGCTGGATTCCAGTGACATTCACAGTGTTATATGGAGGCTTTGACTGCAGCAGCATCCACACCCCCTGCTTGTGGCTAAGGACCCCGCACTCGACAGGAAGAGATGCCTCCCCTGAAGGCTCATAGTTTTACAGATCCTTTACCTTGCAATCTTGGATTCATACTCGGCCTTCTGCGTGGACATCAGCATCTTCAGCTTTGCCAGGTGCTGCTGTAGGGAGGTTGGGTTTGCTGGCAGGTCACTGTGGCTGTTGTCCATGGGGACGTGTCCTGTGTTTTCCTGATCCCGCAAAACATGACTTACAGCTGCGGTGGTGCCTTGGGAGTCTTCTGGGTGGGCAAGGCTTGTTAGGTATCTTGAAGGAGGACTTTCCTCAAACATGTTTAGCAGTGGGAGCCTGCAGAGCGTGCCCGGCCAGTGCCACCCGTGCCCTCCAGGCTCTGTCAAAGCCTCGATGCCTTTTGTGTTCTGGAGGAGACCTTGTTTTCGTGTCCGTCTCGCTCAGCCTGCTCACGGGCTATGAGAGCGTTCTTCCTCCCCACAGCTGCTTGAAGCTTTCCAAATACTTGGAAATCGTCCATTTTGCTGGAGCCCGGATCTTGTTTCAGCCTCCAGCTTTGCTTTCTGTACACAGCAGGTTGAGGTCTTGAGCTGCTGCTCCCCTCTGCTGCCCGCTCGCCTCTATCGTCATGGCTGGGTTCTCATCTCTGGGAGCTGCTATTGCTTTCCTGCACCCGGGCTGTTCAGTGTAGTTTGCCTGACCTCTGTAGGTGGCCCATTTGATAGCCTGACTGCTTTCATTCCTGGGCTGGGGCAGTGAATCCTGCAGCCCTGTCCTGGGGGCACACGGCACCCACTTTGGCTGCAAGGACAGGGCTCCCTGTGTTCTCCTTCGCACGCATTAACAACGAGACGTGTTCCAGCTGGTTTGGCTGCCCTACATCGAGCTGGTCAGGCGTGAGAAAAATGACATGAATGTGAAATGGCTGATTGTGTCCCTTGTGCATCCTCTGTGTCTGCTCCGGAGAGCAAATCGCAGCGCTGCAGGCGAGGGAGGCCGGCTCCTCCGGTCACGATCCTTCAAGGACAAAAAGCTGGAGGTTAAGGAAAAATAGGCCACATCAGCGGTACTTCA